TTTCATCTCTTGCTTTTTGGGGTTGGTCCTATGGAACTGTTCTAATTTTCTTTCTCTTTCCTTTTTTTTCCCCCTTCCACTTTTGCTTTCTGTCAGTCATGTTGTCTTTTCTGTTTTGCTGCAAGTTTTATGAGAAGCCCTCTCAGGTAAGCTTTGCTTGTCTCCCAAATGGTTGATAATAATAATTCTACTTTGCATTCTGTAGCATACTTTCCTGGAGTACCAACCTATCATTTATCATGCACCTAAAGGGTAACTTTCTCCAAAATGCCACATCGTTAAGATTGGATTTTGATCATGTCATGACCCAGCACATATTAATTCTGGAATATGATATTATGCCTTGTTGAAAGAAATGTGTAATCCCTCCCTTTTTATCCTGTAGTCTCCATAAGCCTGTCAATGCCAATTCATCCATATATTGACAGATCTTTTGTGGAAGGGTCCTCCTGTTAGTTCAACAAGGTAGACCAGAATAAGAAATCAATGGCATATTGATCAGGACTACTTTTACTGTAACAACTATAGAAATTGAATCTTACAAGTGTGAATGTCTCCCCCCCCTCCCCTTTTCCCCCCCCCCCAGGTGAACTACAGAGGGGCTTTTCAGAGACATTTTTTCACATGATTTTCTTGGCCAGGGCTTAAGCCCATCTTATCTAACCATTGCATTGCAGAGGCTCCTCCTCTTGTCTTTCAAGGCCATTCCCTATGTCCTCTATCCACATTTCTTCTCTTAGGATGATTTATCTAAAGTTGGCTCCAGTATTCCATTCATGTCTCCAAGTATTTCACCCTCTTCCACTTCTTCAACCATTTGTAAAAATCATTTATAAAATTGTTCTTTGGAGTCTAAATGGAGGCCAGTGTTATAATTTTACTTTCTTCTGAATTTCAAGATTAAGATTCTTCCTGCTTTATCTTTAAACTGGTACAACACTTCCCAAACTGGTGATTTAAGATAAATCATTATTCCATTTTGCTTAGTCTTTTCTGTGATACATATTCTTAGTCCTATTTTTTTTCCTGGTTTAACAAATAGGAATGATCTTTTTATATATGTGCTTCTTATAGATAAACAATATCCGCATTGTGTTTTGTTTTAATTTATTAAAAAATCCTTTTCTTGTTTATTTGATTAATGTAGTCCACTTACATTCATAGCAATCAGTGTTGGCTCCATTGTGAGTTTAATTCCTAATTCACTAACATTCTCCCATGTTCTTGAACCTCATATTCACTCTATGATACTCTTTGAAATCTCATTTTAATATTCTATCAATAAACCATTCCTAATCTTTTGTGGTTCTCTTTCCACTTCTCTCTTTCTTACAGCCACCCCATCAATTTCTTCAAATTTAAATACAGATATAGATAGATAGATAGATAGATAGATAGATAGATAGATAGATAGATAGATAGATAGATCTGTATCTGTAGATAGTCATAGATATATATATCTATGACTTTGGAGAAACTGTGACAAGTGTGGCCTTTTCTGGCCATACTTTCTCAACTGAATTTCTGGCAGATAGTTCCTGAGAGTTAAAAAACAAAACAAAACAAACCTTCAATTACAGAGCAGTACAGAAAACACTTCCCTTAATAGCCATCATTGTCTGCCTCTGGATTGCATGTCTGAGTCCTAAGCCTGCAATTTAGGCCAACATGCTACCTTTACAAATCTGTATATCAAAGCATATAAGCTCAATGCATCTTCATTCCTAAAATGACTAGCTACCAAGGTTAATCTCACTTACAGTTTATTCACATTGTGGGGGAGAAAAACTGATTTGTTTGTTATAAGGGATATCAGGAATTGAAATCAATTGTCAGTTACAATCTATGAGAAATCAGTGCAGCATTTAAGATCAATTGGGGTGGCTGAAATAGATACAGGAATGAAGGACATCATAAAAGCTGGTCAAGAAATAGAATGGTTCCATAGAGTGGGGTAAAGTAGGAGCCTACTTGTATCTAGAAGCTTTTGATCACTGGGCATACAGTATTTAGTAGTAAACTATACCAAGCTCCCATGATTCTATTAGGAATGAGTAAATCATTCACTCCATAGAGAATAAACCAAATGACTGTGTGTCATTCCACACTTTCCACCCAGAAGTATTCATTTTGGTATCTAAGGAGATCCTTCGTATGTTTCACATGAATTTTGACTGCAATGTCTGGGGAAAACTTTGGTATGATCCCTTCTCAATTTGCATGCACACACAGACACACACACACACACAGACACACACTTGTGTAATGTTTTGATCATATTATCTTTGTAGAATACATGAACAGTCTTAGAACGTATGCTTAGGTCTCTCATTAAAATCCATGAGCCTCAGGGAAGCCTCAAGTGCCATTACAAGTTCTGTTACTATGTCAGATACTCAAGCCCATGATCAAATATAGAAAAACATTGAATTTAACATTATTTTATTTTATTTATTTATTCATTTGTCTTATTTATATAGTGACTCTTAACATACCTCTGTTCAGCAGACTTCAGATGTAACATAAAAAAAATGTTGGCTCTTACTTATTATAATAAAATGTTATGTTACAGAGAACAGAACTTCTTCAGACTTTATTACAAATACAGTCCATTTAGTTTTGTGTGCATGCTTCGTTCTTTTTGAATCTACAAATATAACTGTCCAGGATAATGTCAACATGCATATATACATACATAATACAGCCATCTATCCTGATGTAGTCATGCCAATTAAGTAATGATGTGACTTGCATGATTTGCATCATGATCTCTGATACAAGTGTATATGTTGCATTATTTGCATGTTAGTGTCTGTCTGTCTGTCTGTCTGTCTGTGTCTGTCTGTCTGTCTGTCTATCTATCTATCTATCTATCTATCTATCTATCTATCTATCTATCTATCTATCTATCTATCTATCTTGTCATTGGCTCCCTTGCTCTCCTGTGGATGCATATAGAATATAGGCAGGAATGTAGGACTAGACATCTACCTCAGCAGAAAAGGAGCCATGCCATTGTTGCTCCTGTCCTGTCTTGATGAGCTGCTAATATCCTGTCACCATGCTGTGAACAAGGTGGAAATCAAAAAGCACATTATATTCAGAACTCTGGAACCAACAGCTATATTTTAAGAATCACATGCTTAGAAGGAATAGTATAAGAAGAACATTCCTTCATTCCAGTAAAATGTCCTCAATATTAGTATTTTGGATTAGTGTCATTGCAGATTAAATGTTGATACATAATTTGCAGAAAATAGATCAAACCACGTCATGTGGGAAAAAAAAAATCTCAAGCCAAATGCCACACACATACATTTTTGTTTGTTTGTTTGTTCTATGGTGCAAAATCTCTATAGCAAAGAACACAGGCACACTGTGTCAAGATAAATAACATCTAACAAAATAATGCACAGTAATTGAGCCATTCTCTGCCTGCATATTAAGTAACATGGTCCTTCACTTGACTCAACATGTTTGTACAGATATTTCTAAACTTCTAAAACAGTTTATATTTTTGTGATGATATTGAATGGCTGCATGATTTCTTTTGTTTCTTAGGATGATCTACGGCCTCTTCTTTTTATATATATTCTTATTAAAATTCAGTAACAGAGTTAGTTAATTTATAGAAACACACTGAAGACAAGTCCAGTGCTAGCACATGGCAGTTAACCTCCAAAGCCTGAACATCACTAAGCCCATCACCAACCATAACGCTTTGAGTCCCTTGTACATTTAAACTCCCCCCTTATGCTCACAAGAGTATTACTCTGGAGCATTGTAGAATATTGTACTATAGACTGTTGTTGAATATTGGTGCTGCATGTTCTTGGAAAGAAGCTTCCAGCAACTCACCAGTGTAAGCAGAATCAGAGAAAATATCAGTTTGGCCCCAAAGCCCCAAAAGCTGGAGCTGCCAGTGCTTGAAGATGTTTGAGGAATCCCACAGATAAACATCTTTTCAGCTCAGATTTTGAAGATGGGAACTCTGAAATTTTGAAATTGTCGTTATGGAATGCTGTATTGGATAAAGGAAAGTTCTTTAACTGTTTTAAAAACCTAGATTCCATAAGTTAAACTGAAAGAAGTCTTTTTTTACCTGCAGAATTCATGAGCATCAAAATCTACTCCTCAATATGTAGAAAAACCTTTATTTTATGTGTAGCAAGATTTTTTTAAAAAGGTTTAACTGAAATCAGTTTTAGATAGATGTCTGAAGTTTCCCACATCTATGGATGAACACTACTTGTGATATTATATTTATTATGTGTATTAGAATTTTAATGTACAGGTGTACTGGTTCAGGTCCACCCTCAGTCAGGGAAGCTCTGTGGGGCTATTGGCTAATCACTCACTTCTCAGCTCAACCTAACTCATAGTGAAACTATTATGCTCTATAGTCAACATCATTTAGAGAGATTCTGGTGATGTCCAGGAGTTACAGTATATTTAATCAGTTGTTGCAGTAGTTGTTATATCATTGCAAAACCAAAGGAAATAAATTTGGAGTGTGTGTGTGTGTGTGTGTGTGTATCTATCAACAATGTTTTAAAAAGTCAAAATGTTTTGCAGATCTAGTGTGGCATAGAAGGTAAAATATAGGACTCAGACTGAGACAAACAGTGGTCCATCCCCAGCCATGAAATCTTATTGGATGACTTTAGACTAGTCAGTCTCTCTCAGTCCAATTTACCCATAAAGCTCTGTGTCTGTGTCTGTGTCTATGTCTGTGTCTGTGTCTGTGTGGTGTGTGTGTGTGTGTGTGTGTGTAAGAGAGAGAGAGAGAGAGAGACATACAGTAAGCTCTGCCATGACAAGATAGAAATCAAAGCCATAAATATAGTGAACTCTTTCAAGAAGATTTTCTTTTCAACTGTAGTATTATTTGTTATATATAAAGTGTCTCAGGATTGATCCTCTGTCCTCCTATTGCTTTTGAGATTCCTTAAAACAAATCTCACTTCATATTTCGGGGGACAGATAGATGAAAAATATTGTTAAGTAGCATCTGACCAATATATGAAAGCTGAAATCTTGTTCAACAGTTTGCTGACAGTTTCTTTAACTTCTTTGTTCCTCAAACTGTAGACAATGGGATTAAGCATAGGGGTCAGGACAGTATACAGTAAGGAGAGCATTTTATTTAACTCTATCGATTGTGTCCCTATAGATATAGCATATGTAATGCCCAGGGTTCCATAAAAAGTACCTACTACAATAAGATGAGAACCACAAGTAGAGAAAGCTTTCCTCTTTCCACAGGATGATGGGATTTTGAAAATAGTCATTATAATATAAACATATGATGTGATGGTCAAGAGGAAAGGTATCAATGACACTGCAAAACATGCCACAAATATGGTCATCTCTGCTATGTGGGTATCAGAACAGGACAATTTTAGCAATGGGGTTAAATCACAAAAGAAATGATCCACGTGGTTCGAGCCACAGATTGTTAAAGATGTGGATACAATGAAGTTCAGTACTGCTGCTAAAAGGAACCCGCCAAACCAAGTATCAGCAGTTAATTTAAAGCAACAATTCCAGTTCATTAATTGTGCATAGTTCAGTGGATTGCAAATAGCCAGGTAGCGATCATATGACATGAGCAAAAGCAGAAAGCATTCAACTGTTCCCAGAGCACAGAAAAAGTAGAGCTGTATGATGCAAGCAGGCAGGGAAATATCTTTCTCCTTTCTGAGCAAGTCTACCAGCATCTTGGGTGAGATGTTTGATGTATACCATATTTCAAGGAATGATAAGTTACCAAGAAAGAAATACATTGGAGTGTGAAGTCTTTTATCAAGGGAAACTGCTACTAAAATGAGTACATTCCCCACCAAAGTTATTACATATATTCCCAGAAATAATGAAAATATTAAGATCTGAAATTTATGGAGATTTCCAAAACCAAGGAGTATTAAAACACTCATTGTTGCATTTCTGAATATAAACGTTTCCATTTGTTTTGTCCTGGTACTAAAAGAGAAAAAATATTTTTTAAATTAATGTGCAAAATATATATTTATCAATATTTATGGTTAAGATAAATGTTTTTGAACTGAACTGACAGGAGGAAGAGGAAGAGGAAGAGGAAGAGGAAGAGGAAGAGGAAGAGGAAGAGATAAACATACATTACCTTATTATATATCCTCAACAGCCTATTTCTGCTGCTTGTTCTCAATTTGTAAATGCATCTTGTGTTTCTTAGATTCTAAAGCTTCATTGTTGCTACAGTTAGGTGTGCCACTCTCATTTGTCCTGAACCAACTGCATGATATGAATTTGTGCAGCAATCAGGGCTTTTAAGAAATAGCTTTTAAGTTTAACCCTTAATACTCTTTTATGCATCAGGAACTTTTTGAGATGAATGAACATTTTTTTTCCTTGTAGCCACAATTTATGCTATCATTCTTCTTCCTTTTTTGGGAAGATTACACAGTGATTTCCAGAATGATAGCAGGAATGATGAGACACTAGAGAATATAATCTTTAAAGCAATTTTAATTGTGTGGTTTGTCAGCCAGAACCATATAAAAGGCATGGTATTGTGTCTTATGAATAAATCCCAGTTCAGAAGATTATCTAATTTTGTGGGCTGAGACTACTCATAATCCCATAGGAATTAAAGGTAATCAAGGTAGTTAATGGTAAAGTGTTCTTGTTAATTTCAATGGGATGATAGGTACAACACATTTAGTCCAAGGCAGAACTGCAAAGATTGTGTGGCATGTTTCAACTCTACTCAAGAATTCAAAGTATATAATAAATGGTGAAAATCACACTGATAAGAGTTTTGTCTTGTTTTGGATTATTCCAGAAGAGCTAATCCATCTCTGCAATTGTACTAGATCCAAAAAATCTAGATATGGTTGTGCTTGATTTAGCAATATTGCATAAGTACTTATTTTATCTAGTGTCTATTTCAACTCTTGATCAAGCTTATATGGAAGAATACCAAATGAAGAACTTGTTGAAGAACTTGTTCAGTGTTAGAAAGTTATCCAAATAGATGGTTAAAAACACCTCTAGTAGGGGTTGACAAATTGAATTCATGCCTGTCTACATGCATTTGAAATTCTGTGAAGCCTATGGAGTTGGAATCAACCAAGGTCTTAAGTATTATTGCAGGTCCAGTCTGCCTGAAATATAACAGGAATGACTAAAGGTTGATGCATAGTGTTTCATGACTCTGAGTCATTTAATTTCTGCACCCCTACCTCTGAGCAATTTGAAGTTCAAACTGACTCTTTTCCCAATGAACTCCATGACTGATTGAAGACTTGAACTGGCTTAGCCATTAGACTACACTGACTTTTTCCCTTCCCTTCCCTTCCCTTCCCTCCCTACTTTTCTTTTCTTTTCTTTTCTTTTCTTTTCTTTTCTTTTCTTTTCTTTTCTTTTCTTTTCTTTTCTTTTCTTTTCTTTTCTTTTCTTTTCTTTTCTTTTCTTGCCAATGTGAATTCCTAATGAATGAGTACACAGTCACTCCTAGAATTTGCTTTACAATGTTTTGACTACCTCTTTACCCAGGCATTGGGCTAGGAATAAAATGAGCCCAGCAAATATAAATGTCTACTTGGTGGGATGTTGTGGCACTGTGGTTGGGATATATGATGTTGTTGTGGGGTTCTGTTGGTTATAGTTATTCTGTTTTTATGGAATGTCATCGTAAGCCACCTAGGATTATCATGTATAAATTAGGCAGCGAAATAAGTGTTTTAAATAAATCAACAAACATGAATCATTCCATTCTTTTATTGATTCTTTTCACTACTTTAGACAAATCATTTCTTTTCCCCAGAATAACTTAGAGGATATTAAGGATAGAGGATGGAGAATGGCAATGGCTAGTGGCTGTGGCTGTGGCAGCCCATGCTAATTATCTTCCCTTAGCTGAAAAGGCTGTTGTTTGTTTCAAACCTTGAAATTTCATTTAAAATACAATCTATACAAAGACATATCACATTGGGAATTTCAGGGATCACACACATTGGCTTTTTTGTTGTATTACATTTAAAATCACATTCAAAACAAGCTTGTGGGTTTTTCCTCAGGTGAAAGATTCTTTATAGAGAATAGTAAGCAGGTTGAACAAAGCCTGAAAAATATGTAAAAAGGGGGCAGATTCTCAGGCTCTCAGACCTCCATGCTTTGAGCTGTCTCTGTTACCATTATGAAGAGAGTTTATTTTTTTTTTCCCTTTTCCTCTTGTTCCATGGTTTTATTCTTAACAAAATTCAACTTTACATAGCTCTTTTGAAATTTTGGAGAACTGATGATGAATTCTAGGGAATTATTTTTCACCAATGTAGGAAATGTAAAACTTTCCCCAGAAAGTTAGTTAGGGCTTCTTTAACTTCCTTTTCCCTCAAGCTGTATATAATATGATTAAACATAGGAGTCAACAGACTGTACAGTATGGAAAGTACTTTAATTTGATAGTCTGCATTCCAGCAGAAGCATCACAGGTTATACCCTGTGTCCCATAGAAAATGGTTACTATGACCAAGTGGGAACTACAAGTGGAAAAGGCTTCCTTTTTTCCTGTAGCTTCAGGGCTTCTCAGAAGAGTCAATATTATATACCTAGATATACATATAACTGTCAATTGAAAATGAATTAGTGGTACCCAGAAATGTTAAGCAAAAATGGCCATCTCTACTGGCTAAATGTCAGAGCAGGACAAGTTCAGTAAGCGTGTTATGTCACAAAATTAATGGTCAATTTGGTTGAAGCCACAGAGGGTTAAGGATATGAGTGTAATGCAGTTTGGCCCAGCAGCTAATAGAAAACCTGACAGCCATGTGCTAGCAGTCAACTTATACCAAGAGTTCTACTCCATCATTTAGGTATACTGCAGTATACCTTGGTTTACAGATTGCCAAGTACAATCATATGACATAAGCAACATGAAGAAGCATTCAGTGGTTCCCAGATCATAGAGAATGTATAACTGTATGATGCAACTTGTTAGTGAAATGGTTTTCTGCTTTCTGAACAAATCTACCAGTATCTCTGGGGTGATGTTTGATTTATACCATACTTCAAGGAGTGATACATTGCCGGGGGGGGGGCATTGGAGCATGACCTCTTTTATCAAATGAAACAGCTACTAAAATGAGTGAATTTCCCATTAGAGTGAATCCATATATTCCCCAAAAGAGTAAAAATTGCAATTCCTGTAGATCACCAAACCTAGGCAGCATTAATAGGTTTTCTGCATCTACATTTCTGGGTCTAAAATTTTCAATTTGGTAATCTAGCTTGAGTAGGAGGAAGATGATGCTGTAAAAATAATGTAATATTACACTTCATTTCATGTATATGGACCCAGTTATATAAACATGCAAAAGGCAATTATTTGTTCCATGCAATCTGAGAGTGAAAATGACATAGAATGAGTCGATTACAAAAAAGAAATGATAAGATAAATATCAGGTGAGAGTATAAGAGACAGAATATGTGTTATATTTCTTGTTGGTCAGCTTTTCAAATTTATACATCTCTTCTGCCTGGTCTCTTATTTCTATAATCCAGTTTCTTCTATAACTTGGGGTTTTTTTATGTCATCTTCTGTATTTGTTCATTTTACTCAAATCAGATCCAAAGCAACTTCATGATAATGTGCTCCTATCATAGGTAATGCTTTTCATCCAAGTCTTATTTGTAATGGTTGCATAAATTGTATAAGCATTTTTTTCTAATTCATTGTGCCTACCAAACCACAGCAATGATAATAAACTCCTAGCTAACATTAATTTACAATTCCTAGGATAAATATATATACATGAAAAAAGAAACCCAAGTTTTCCATTCTGGTTCAGTTTTTCCTTTTTTCAGTGAACACCTTCTTGGTATTGAGATCAGGCCTGAAAATAATGATGTAACATTTTGGGAAAAAGATGCAAGTCAAGAGGCTGGTATTGGAGGCCAAGATAGCAAAAACCTCCAAAGCCACAATGTTCTTCCCTGTGATGCTCAGATAAACTGGAATAAAGGAGATCCAAACAGTGCAAAAGACCAGCATGCTAAAGGTGATAAACTTGGCTTCATTGAAAGTGTCTGGTAAATTTCGGGCTAGGAAAGCTACAATAAAGCTGATGATGGCCAAAAAGCCCAGGTAGCCCAGAACACAATAGAACATGTTGATGGAGCCTTCACTGCATTTTGTTTCCATTTGCCGAGTTGGTGAGTCCATGCTAACATCTGGAAATGGAGGCGAGGTCAGCAACCTAGCAGTACAAATTGCTACTTCAATGAGGGAGCAAAAAACCATAATAGCATTTGCCACTTTTTGCCCTAGCCATTTCGCAATCGTGGTTCCTGGTTTTGTAGCCATGAAAGCCAGGATAACAATGATTGTTTTTGCCAACACACAAGAAACTGCAATGGAAAAAAATATGCCAAAAGCTGTTATCTGAAGGAGGCAGGACACTTTACTAGGTTTGCCAATAAAAAGCAGGGGACAAAAATAACATAAAAGTAAGGAGATAAGAAGAATGCAGGTGAGATTCCGATTGTTAGCTCTGACAATGGGTGTGTTCCAGTTCTTTATAAAAACTAATGTTACCAAGCCTGTGATAAAGGCAAAGGATATAGCAAAAGAAACTAAAGCAGCCCCAATAGGTTCTTGATAAGAAAGGAAAGTTAAAATCTTTGGGATGCACTGATCTTGATTGCTGTTCGGATATTGATCATGGGGACATGGAACACAATGAACAGCATCTAAAGGGAAGGGAAAAAAATATTGCTGACTCAGAAATTCCATTTCCTTTTTAAAAGTAATGATTACTTTCACAAATTGGCTATCAAAATAAAACCTCCAAAACAGATGATAAGAGTTGAAAAGAGGAAAAAGGATCTAGTCAAAGCTCAGAAGGGACCAGCCATTTAATCATCTTCCTTTGAGGATGGTGAAGATTTATCCATTCAAGTTATCATTTTAAGTCTTGGTGCCAGG